TGCTTCTCATAGAAAACAAGTTAGGAACCATATGACCAAAAAGACAACATAGTCAAGAAACACTCATAATTATCAAGGAAAAAAAACTTCCATCAGGTTGGCGATATTTGTATAACATTTCCTCAAGGAAACTCATATAGTCTCAATCAATAACATTCCCCAAACCGCACTAAGGATTGCAAAGGATAGAGCGCCTTCTTAGCCAATGTCATTCTCTTCTACTCAACTGTTTGGGAGATTGTATCGCCGGATAGATGCATTCAAGGAAACAATGGAGGTAACTACATCAGTGTAGTCAAAGGCGCGATTTAAGCGCGCTTAAGCCCTGAAGCAAGGCTCAATGTTGTGCGCTTTGCGCCTCACTTTATGTGCGCTTCAGTGTCGTCATCAAGGTTCTAAGGCAAACTTTTCCTTGCCAATGAACCTCTTTTGAAGAAGTGACACTAAGCAATTGATATTTTACTTTATCATAAAAAAAATTCAATTTCTTTGGTCATATATTTGTCATTCATGTTTATAATTATTAGACTTGGACTAAACATATATATTTGTATTTTTTTCTCCCTTTGCGCCTTTTTTTATTAAAGCCCACGCTTTATTTGCGCTTTGCGCTTAAAGCCCCAACAAACCTTAGAGCTTTTTTGCGCATTTTGCCTTTGATAACACTGAACTACATACGCCCAACAACCGAAAGGAACCAGAAAAGATTTTGTAATTGCAATTTATTTCTGGGAACTGTCATCAAGCACATCGTCCTCTAAATCATCAAAAGAAACCAATGTAGAAAGGTCTACCAACAAAGTGACTCTATTTGAACTAGGGTTAAACGGAAGTTGAAGTAACATATGTTGAGTAGTCATAATTAGAGATATCACACTATATCCATGCACATTATTATAATCGAGCATTAGATCGAACAGGTTGCAAGCAACTCTAGTTTCCTTAAATTCCAAGCATTGTTCCATAAGTGTTGATAGGAACAATACCCAAATCAGGCACTCTAATGCAATCAAGGAGCAAGGAATCAAAGTCTACCTTACTGTGAGAAATATTGGAGAAAAATATTATAGAATTGTGTATCTACATTATTACAGAGAGACCATATTTATAGACACTAAATACAATCATTTATCGAGTAGGCAACTATATACTATTCATATTCTTATACATGTTACAAGTAGGATTGTATATACCTATTCCAATTCTTGACACTCCCCCTCAAGCTGGTGCATACAAGTCATATGTACCTAGTTTGTTAGAGATGTAATTAATGCGAGGACCGGTGAGGGGCTTGGTGGAGATACTGCAAGTTGATCACTCGACTTCACAAAATTGACCGTCAATCTCAATGCACTTAGTTTTCTAATGAAATACTGGATTTGATGCAGAATGTTGATAAAACGCGGAGTGATTAGCCCCACTATGAGTCATGCCAAACTCCAGAATTACTATGTTGAACTTCCCAAACCAAGCTTGAGAAGATTATTTCAGACCTTTCACTTTGCGCAATCGACATACATAGGCTACTGGACTCCCCTGAGCACCAAAACTAGGTGGTTGCTCCATATAGACTTATTCACAGTGCAGCAGTCACCGAAAAGTGTTCAAAATATATGGTATATATCGATCATCTTGGAATCAATAGATGAGTTGATATTAGATATGGAACAAAAACGTCACTAAAAAACTGGTTGAAACATGCTCATGCATCGGAGTATTAGATTTCATGGTTGAACCAGAGAAATAAAATTATATGAGTAAAGTCGGAATAATGGCACGACCCTACTGAGAAAGAATTAAATGGGTAGGGGTCAAAATGATGGCATGACCCTCCTGAAAAATAGAAATTATATGGGTAGGGGTGGAATGATTGCACAACCCTACACAAATAAGAAAATAGTCACCGAAAACATGGTGCTACGCAAATCAGTTATGAAAAAGTGGTCACCAAAAAGATAGCCCGGTGCTACACAAATCGGATATGAGAAAGTAGTCACCATAAAGATGGAATGGTGCTACACAGATAAGATATGTGAAAGTAATCGTCGGGATAATGCACGGTACTACATAAATCGAATATGAGAAAATAGTCTTTTTTTCTTTATCAAAAAAAATAATGCACGGTGCTACACAAATCAAATATGAAAGATAATCTGAAAAAATGCACGGTACTATGCAGATTAAATATGAAAAAAAGCAGTCACAAGAAAGATGCACGGTGCTATGCAAATTAGATATGAAAAAATAGTCACCGGAAAGATACACGGTGACCCAACTTTTTCTAACATAATTGTTGGTCAGGCGGGTGGCATATATAGGTAATAGCCACCCGCCGGCAACGGAAGCTCTTTGATTTTCTACAAGATCTTAAGGCATTGATACCATTTGAGAAATATTGAAAAAAAATTATTGAATCGTGTATCTACAAAAGGTTGTGAATCACAATTTACTGTCACGAATTCAGTATTGATCAGTTGCAACCTAAGTTGCTCGGACTCTTCATTATTGGTGTCGCACCTGTGTCGACACGACATGGGTGTGGGTGTGGGATCCGTGTACGATTTGGTCAACCGTTTTTGGGTACTTTGAACAAAATCGATGGGGAAAGCCTGGACAATTGTAATGATTTCTGTAATCAATACAAAAGCTAAGGTGAAATTAAAGGAAACAGTATACCTTTTATATAAATATTTCTATCACTCCTTTTCCTTTGATCTCCTTCCAGGATTCTCCTCAAGTTCTCCATATAATATCTCATAATTTAGGTTTTATAACTCTATTTTAGATTTTTTTTTGAACTTTTTTTTTTTTTGAAATTGTCTATTTTAGATATCTGAATCAGTTTTAGGAGAATCCCCGCACCCGTATCCATACAATGGATCCATATCCCCGAATCTTAAAAATTAGATCATGAAGGATCCGACCTTTAGATCCACACCCGTATTGGACACCCGCACCCGAGTCCGAGCAACTTAGGTTGCAACGATATTTTCCTCCCCACTAGTGTTTGGGAAAGCGATAAACAACAAAAAATGAGAGCCTGTTTACTAAGGCGGGAAGCGAAGTGCTCACCTTTTTGAAGTGAAGCACCAATTAATACAAAAAAATTGCAATTTTAATTTTGCATGTATAAATAACCAAAAACTCTATAGCAATAACATATTAGCAAATATTTCAATTCATATACTTTTTGTAGACAAAAATAATTAAGTTATTATTCTGAAATTGTAGTCTACAACTGGAAAAAAATGCAAGAACTAACTGTCTGCAAAAAGAAGAAAGAACTCCAGAAATAGAGGACGGAAAACAGAGGAGAAGAGAGGAGAAAGAAGCTGTTGGAAAAGAGAGGAGAAAGAAGCTGTTGGAAAACAGAGGACAAAGAAGAAAGAAGAAGAAAAGAAAGAAAAAAAGAGAAGAAGTACCTAAACAAAACAACCTTAGTTGTTGCAACTTGCGACTGAAAGAACAAGAACCTGAAGAAGAAGAAGAAAAGTTGAAACTGACCAAAAAACTCTAGATGTGTGTTTTAAAGTCTATTTAAGAAAAAGCCCCCAAGGCCTAGCTCAAGTGGCAAAAGGTGGAGGATTTGTGGCTTAGGTCACAGGTTCAAGCCCCACACCATGCAAAGCAAAGCCAGGTATTTAAGTGGAGAAGGGTAGAGGGGCGGGCCCATTATCCACCGAGTTTAGAAGGCTGTGATTGGTCCAAAGGGCGGGTCACAGACAGATTTCTCGGTTATCAAAAAAAAAAAAGTCTATTTAAGATAAACCGACGCTTCTCCTTGCGCAACACCTCTTGCCTCTCGTTGCCGCCTCTCACCTCTCAGTTACTTTTTTCATCGCGTAACACCTCAAGCCAAAAAAATGATAAACTCCTGCTTCACCTCACGCTTTAAGCATAGAGCTTTTGTGTCTCATCTTGTTTAGGACAGTTAAAGAACAATTGGTCCTCAAGGTTGGACAGCATATGTCATAAAGTGAAGCTTCAGAAATAGATTTTCAACACAATATGTAAGCAACTTTAAGTGTCCATGGGATTCCAAGGGAGACTTCGAATAACAGTTCTTGTATGTGATTATGAATCAAAAGTCTATGAGGTTGTGCATAATGAAAAAAGAGGACAATGCATTGTCGATGTGTCCAAACATACGAGTGCACTTCTCTTGCATTGCCATGATCAGATCCAAGATGGTATTGAGTCAATTGTCGAACATGGTAGAACATTATAAAGGCATGGAGTACGAGCAATGCTCAGCATCAATGTAATGATAAAGCTTTGTGTTGCAATAGAGGAATGGAATACAGATAGTGAATGAGAAATGTTTCTCCTTTATTTGCAACAAAATGCAGAAATAAAATGAAAACTTATACGGGAGGAAGGTTCAAGATTTCTTCTATTAACAAATAAGAAAAGAAAGATAAAGTTCTTGCATAACCCTAATGAAAGATTTCCTCTTGAATACTTAGTCATCTTCATACAATGCACATGTTTCTTTTAACTGGATTCCAAATGTAATTTGACAGCTGTCCAAATGTGTCCTCAACCTTGGCCTTTTAGCCAATGTCATTCTTAAATTTTTGCCCATCCTCTGGAGGTCGTTTTAAAGAGAATCAGAAGAAAGACTAGCTGCCAAAATGTGCAAAATTCCATCAATAAAATGAAAATCCTCCAGAACCACTACTTTCTGTAAGTATCACGCCCAAGAGAGAAGGTAAGGCACCCGATCCAACCAATATGTGGATTCGTATTATTCAGGGGTTTAAAAGTTGTACAAGCTCTATTTATCAAAAAAAAGTTGTACAAGCTCACGCTTGCCTCTTTTTCTTTTTCTCTTTTCTAATAAAGCAAAATTGCATGTTACTAACATTTGTATCACTAACTATATACAAATAAATCAGCAAAAACCAGAAAAGAAAAAAAAAACTTACAGTCATCCATCTACAACATCTATGTTACTAAATATGCAAATAAATTAGATAAAACTAGATCAAAAAACTTACAGACATCCATCTACATCTCAGTGCTACATCTCGAACAGTCTTGTCTTTTAACTGCATTGCAATTTTTGCATACCTAGATATGTTGCTTTCTGTTGCATATCTGCAAAAGTAAAGTTCCAATCTCCATTTAACCAATCACGAGAATAGAAGTCAGCTCTGATACAAATACTAATAATGCATAGTTAGCATAAGTGATGTTGTTTGAACAAGGACATCATATATATTTAGTTTTTTGATAATTGTGGTGTCCGGGCCAGCTTGCGGTACCTCGACTAACTCCAAGAGATACCTATCTGTCCACCAAGTCTAGAACACATGGGAAGAAATCACCTAGTGTTTTTGTCTAACTGAAATTTGAACATGAGACTTTGTGGTGCTCAACCCACTTCATTGACCACGAGGCTATACCTTTGGGTTTCATATTTGTAATGACTAATAGTTAACTAGAACAAGAATTCTGTATGCATCTAATTATTTCTCTCCATTTCGTTGAACTTACTATAGCAAACACTGACGGTATATTTCCAAGTTGATTGGGTGACAGGAAGAAGTGGTCATTGTTATTATAGAAATGAATTACAAGACGAGATTATTTGTGATAGAAAATTCACTAATCCATAGAATTAGTTTACAACTTGTCTAATTTATTCAAGACAGATACATCCACCACCCAAAGGTTAGCAGAAATTAGGCTAAAAGGTTAAAAGTTGTATGATTACCCATTTCTTGCCCTTGCGAAAATTTCTAGACTAAAGAAGAGTGCAAGCAGCAAATTTCAGAGGAAAATCAATAATTCAGGAATTAGTTAGCAACTGGAAATAAAAGAAGGATTAATACAGACTTGGCGAGCAATTCTTCAAGGAGGGACTGTTCGTCAGGAGTCCAATCAACAGAAAGGCCGGGATTGTGTCGTAGAGCCGCCTGTGTGGGGCCAACCACAGAGTTTTCCGGAACGGAGAGACCATTAGTGGTGGCGCCATTCCCATTGCCGTTGCCTTCTTGACCACTATTATTACCCGCCGGAGGATTCGCGCTGGCAGCCATCAATTTGTACAGTACCCCGACAAATTACAAACAATTGCAAATTCAAGTGGATATAGCTGAATCTGTAACCTACAACCAGTTTGGAATTGGGGAGCGCCGAGCGAGATTTAGTAATTTTATTATTATTATGAGAGAAGAGAAAATCGGTACGGAACTGTTTCTAGAGGATTTCAATACTAATTGACCTTGGATAAAGAGGGGAATATTTTCTTCATTAGATAGTTGTTTCTTTTTCTTTCTTTTTTTAAGAGAGAGTAATTTATTTACTTTAGGGCTGCGATATTTTTGTAAGTAGTTTCATTTTGAGACTTTTACTCATGTGGTCCATTGTTTATTTTTTCCTTGTCCTATTCTAAAATGTGTTTGATTGATTTAGTATAGAGTTTAAAAAAGAAATTAAGATTTTAGAAACTTGTGATCTAAAATAATTTATAGATATTTATGTGACTATAACTAACATCCTTATATTGATTGTTTTTAAATTTCATATTTACTTCTTGTTTAATTAATGATGAACCTGATTATTTAATCCACGTAGAGACAACAAAAATAATAGAGTTATTTTTAAACACGATATATTGAAATACTTCAAGGATCACTATTATCATATTTTTAGGGATAATTTCATAGACGTCCTTAAAGGTTTCTCTCTATAACACTCACCTCCCCTATGATTTACGATATTATGCATACCTTCTTTATTTTGATTTTTTTGTAATCATTCTTTAAACCTATTTAAAATATATATTTTAAATTTAAAATATATATAAATTAACTATAATTTGATAAATTTGTCCTTCTTCATATTATTAAAAAATGACTCATTTAATAAATACTTTTAAAATAAATCAATATAAAGAAATGTCTACTTTTATTTGGAAAAAAAAAACCGCGTGTGTATATATAAAAAACATATTATAGTACTAACTTATTTGTGTTGACTCAGTTTTAAAGTATTTATCAAATGAGTTAGGTTTTTAATAATGTGCATTAATATGAAGAAAGACAATTTTGTTAAGTCATCTTAGATATATATTTATTTTAAGTAGGTTTAAGAAATAGTTTAAAAAATAACTAAATAAGGGAGGTAGTCGTAATATCATAAACCACAAGGAAAGTGAGTGTTAAAGAGCAAAATCTAAAGGGATGACTATGAAGTTATCCCTTTTTTAACTAGTCTCTTTGTCCCAATTTATATGACTTATTTTCCTTTTTAGTCATCCCAAAGAAAGACACTTTTATATTAAGTAACAATTTAACTTTAAAATCTCCATTTTATCTTTAATGAAATATGAAATTTCCGAGAGTCAAAAAACCCCGACCTCTCTCTCTCTCTCTCTCTCTCAAATTATCACTAAATTTGAGTATCTTCATTCAAGCGATAATACAAAAAAAAGTGACAGTACAAAAAAGGAATGAAAAGAAGTGAGAGGTTGAGGGCAGGCTAGGGAAAAGAGTCGAGTCCAGACTTGACGATCAGGAGATTTTATAAGTTTTAAGAAACTAAAAATAAATACTTTACTTTTTTTCTTCTATAATGCGCTTCAATTGTAGTCCAACTTCCTCAACAACTCTACCTAGATGTTGGCTCTAATAGCTCAAAACAACACCTAATACAAATCAAATATGAAAAGTAAAATGTGTGAATTGAACTTCAAACAACAAGAATTGTTATGAATGTAACTTGATAGGAACATGTTCCTTATTATCGACACTCCATTCTTACAATTAAATCAGTATTAAAATCTTGTTCTTACTTTCTATTTGTAGTGACTCTATTTTCTTTCAAGTTTTGCAGCATCAATGAGGCGTTTTATATATGAGTATATGGAGGTTTTATGTCTTTTCAATTCAACATGGATTGGACCAATTATTCTAATCTAAGTTTGAATTGATTTTCCTTCACGCATTTGACCATTGTTTTATCTTATTTTGCAAATCTTCTTCCACGTGTGTAAATATGATTAATGTTTTCATATTTTCTTATTCCTTGTTTTATCGGATTTTTCATAATCCTAATTCCACAAGCAAACCTTTTATGCACTTGAAATATGCTTTTGGCTTGATCAATAATCTCCTCTGGTCCACTGTCAAGGACGTGGTTCCTTCACTGTTTATTCATTGTTGTGACGCACTCTTGATAAAAACGTTTTGTTGTAGACATGGAAAGAAAATTGGTTACCTTTTAATATTTTGTTATGAACACTACCAGTTGTTGAGACCTATGAATGACCTGATTCTTTCATATGTTTGTTATGTATTGCTATTCATTTGTTAATTATCTAAACTACATATTGTTAATCTTAGCACTATAACTCATCGTTCTTAGATTAATAAATTTCCCTCTTTTAATAATGACTAAGCCATAACATCCCATACCAATTGCATTACTTCATTGTAGTGGCATGTGTACTTAAGTGCAACTTGTCCCCCTAAGAACTAACTTCATGTTGATCATTACAAGTTAGTAAGATATGAACTCTTAGCTAAGTCTTTCATGGGACTAACTTTCCACCCATCACAACTCAATAAGTCACTAGTAATAAGTGGTGAATTTTACCACTTATTTGTGTCCTTTTTTGTGATTTTGTTCATTCTAAGCATGAAATGAGACTACTAATGTATGTTTTATGAGTATTCAGGTGAAAACCTATAAAAGAAGGATAGACGAGGAAAAGAGCCATAAAGAAGCTAAAATAAATGGATGCTACAAAGAGAAAACTGTCAGGTCCCGCGCAACTGCAAAAAAAGACCCACATATGTGATCTCGCACCAAGGCAAGAAGTGAAGCTCCTACGATTGTCAAAGAACAATGGATCCTCAGACATGCAATGAAATTTTTGCCACAACAAAGGTCACGCCTGCGACTAATGGACATGACTAATGGGCTACAATGTAGCCCAAAGTTGTATTTTCACACTTTTGGAAACCCCAAGCTGAATTAAAGGCACCTCAAACCTTTGGAAACACATCATTGATCTACCTTCAAGAGAAAAATCATATTTTAAGAGGAGAGAGTCACCACTCAACTTGAAGAGTGAAGATTGTGAGCTTAAATGTGTATATCTTTAGACCTTTCTTCAACTCTTGATTTAGCTTGATCACTCATAGTTGTAGTCTTTGATTTTCATATTTGGATATTGTGTTAAAGATAAACGATATTTAGGTTTTGATTCTTGTTTTGTGCTTTTGCAATTAATTAAATATTGTCTTGTTTATGATATGGGTCTTTGATTTTCTAATTGATCTCATGCTCTAATTGACTTCCAAAAGAGTGATGAACCCAAGGACTTTCCTATTAAGCTTGATCTTGCTTGAGAAAGAGGATTAAGTGTAGGAATGTTTGACTAGCACGATTTGAGAATTGGATGGACTAGATCTTGAGAAAGTTTTGATCTGGGTCTAACCCTCATCTTATGGATTTGAGCTAGAGATAGGATAATCATAGTGTTGTCATATTGGTTGTTTATTTTCTATACTTGCTTGTGACCGAGAGATACAAATGGGTACTTTAGAAACCAAGTCAAAGTTGACTTACGCATGATTAACTTGATGATGTTTAGTTATTTATGATATATCGTATAAGCATGAATTGAATTCTCATTCCCAAATCTATTTTTCTATCCTCGAGTCAAAAGGTCTTTGGTCAATCAATCTTTTATTTTTCTTATCTTAGTTTTAGTGGTTGTCCCTTATTAGAAACCCTCCCCCCCAAAAAAAATATGTGTATCAATTGTTGGATTCAAATTAGTGGCTTGTAATTCTTTATCTTTTTTATCGCCACAAATTGTTCATTGTGGGATTTGACCTTGACCTCATAAGTTGGGTATTGTTTTTGCATACGACCGCCTACATTTTTTATTTGGGAAGTGTAGTTGAGTGTTATCGAAAATGGTGTCGTTGTCGTGGAACAATTTGGTGAATTGATATAGAATTTATAGTTCACTTGTTTCGATCCACATTGTGAATATTTGTTTGTGTTTTTGTAGTTTTTATTTTTGTTTCTATGGCTTTTTTTTAGGACACCAAGCTTAAGGGTTGCAATCCCTATGTTGAAGACCCTTGCCCCTATTGTGGAGGACCTCGTGTTGGGAAAAATGTATAGAGACTTCTCAAAATAAAGAAACGAGTGACACAATAGGAACTATGAGTCAAACTTGGCTCGTAAGAGTAACCCAACACCTCGACCATTGCGATAGGATGCAAGATAGTTTGTTCCGCTTGAGGGGTGAACTCTTTCACTTGCATCTCAACTGGTGCCATGAGGTGATCTAACTTGAGCTTGAAATTGTCAACTTGAAGACTGATGTTATACCAAAGCTTAGGGCATGTGATGCTCTTCCTCAAATGGTCAAGAGTGATGAAATAAAGTTGGAATTTGACAAAGAAAGGGTTGTGCTTTAATATGGAAGAAATCTTAAGTATTTTCACACCTTCCGAGCCAAAGATAATTCAAGATGTCACTAGCAAAGAAATGATACTAGAGTTGCAAGAAAAAGTCAACATCCTCATCTCTAGTCCATTTGTAAGTGAGTTTGCCACTCAATGGAGACAAAATGACATTCCTCGCTTAAAGGCCAAGAAATGCATGATTCGATGTCAACAACGTGGCCTGTTTTTCACCTCTCCCTTGCCTAATGCACCTCAACAAAAATTCGACTTGAACTTGAGAAAGAGGTTCAAATATTCAAATTGGAGGGATAGAGTTGGATGCATTGTGTGCACACTCTTACCTCCTAATCCTCAATAAAACCTTAATTTGAAGTTGGGGAGGAGGCTCATTGACTCAAAATGGAAGCATAAGATCAGGTCATGTACTCGAATTTGCACCACGACGTTCAATTGTGCGCTTTATGGGAGGAAACATTGCTTCTAAATATTTACAATGTAGTTAGTTTTGTTTTGACTAATCAATAATTTTCTAGTTTGTTACTAAATTTGCAGGTGAAATTATCAACACTAGTATAGGGGAGCCACTCCTACAAAATTTCTTCTAATAGAGCGATACCATATGCGTTATGATCTTTTTGCACCGGCGATAGTCCGCTGGTCAGCAATAGTAGAAGTAGCCATTTCTCATAGAAGTGATACCGCCAAAGCAGAATCAGAGTCGAAGGTGTGAAGTGCACTTGGACTTCTAAGTTCTTATCAAATGCATGAATGAAGAGTATTCATAACTCTTCATATCCGATCTTGAGTAGGTTTACTCCCCCTCTCAATTGACTTTTGATACATTCA